ATTGCTGTGTCTCCAAAAAAATCACCATTTTTTTTTTAATTTGGCATAGATTGGTGGTAAAATGGCTGCATAAAAAGATTCAAAATACCCAGTTTTAATACCTTGGGTTGTCTTCTTTTACAAAATATATACATGTGAAGGGTTATTCTGGGATTCTTGACAGATATCAGTGTTACAATGTAACTTGCATTAATTTTGAAAAAAATTGGTTTGGAAACAGCAAAGTGCTACTTGTGCTTATAGCCCTACAACTTTCCAAAAAAAGCTAAGAACATGCATTTCTAAACTATGGACAAAATTTTGAAACTATTTATCATGAGTGTTTTTTGGCAGTTGTAGATGCGTAACAGATTTTGGGGGACAGAATTTGAAAAAGTGTGTTTTTTTTTTTTTTTTTATCATTTATTAAATCTTATAGTAAAATATGATATGATGAAAATAATGGTAATGGGATATCGAGGCAGACTTGCCGCAATTGTGACGATCTGGGGTTAACCTTAGTAAATGACAGAAAATTTCCAGCTTGCATTGGGAAGATGTTAATCTCCCCTCAACAAAACAGGACCCCAGGGCAAGTGATTGCACATGGCCGCAATAGGAATCTGTGGATCTTCCTGTAGGGGGACTGCCTGGGAAATCAGGCAGTTTCCCTGCTGCTGAAAATTTTTAAATATTATTAGTAATGGGAAAATAAAATGTGTGTGTGTGTGTGTGTGTGTATATATATAAATTCGATGTGTATATTTATGTAATCTTTTCACATAATTAAGTGACTTAAGTACAATTTAAAACCTCCATTATTTTTTGCCTAGATTAGGTGTTTTTCTTTAGAAAAACTAACAAAATCTGTCAGCAGAAAAGTTGCTGTTTAGTAGATAAGGGAGTGCCTTGGATTTTCATTATTATTGCACTTATTGGCTCCCAGCAGCAACCTATTTATGCATGTTTAGGTGAGTGCAGCCAGTCCCCTGTATATATATATATATGTATATGTATTAAGGCCGTTTGGCCTGTATTTGTGGGAGGGGCTTAAATTAATTCACTCCCCTATATAAGGGACACCCCTTACCTGACTCCATATCGCTTGAGGTGAGCATCAGAATGATTTCCACTTCCGGGTCATCCAGACGCCATTTTACCTGTTTACTCGATGAGGTTTTCTAAGCTGAGCTGTGTCAGGAATCCAGCCACAGGCTTTTCCGGCCTACCACCTTCTTTCTTCAATCCATTGCCGTGGATGGTGTCCAACTGACTCACAAACCGTAAGTCGACCGACCCGTTACGCCAGGCATCAGTCCCACGTCACCATGCACGGGTCAGGTCCTCACTTTACGGCTGTATTTTGTCTGTCTGTTCTAAAACCATTGCATGTTCATGCATATCATTCGTTTAAACTCACTTGTTTATATCTGTCACTGGCTCCTTTTGAGCATTAGCATACTCCCGAACGGGAACACATTCTGTTTCAATTGCCTAAACATACTAGTCAATTCTGTGTGTGCATGTCGAATCTCACTGCTCATTTCGTTTTGTTTCCCTGACATACCAGGCTCACTGTTCGTGCAATTTTCTACCAAACGAGAACTAGTTCATGCATTTACTATTGTACTATACACACATTTCGTGAGTTTACAACCCACGAACAGAACTTTGGTTTGTTACAATGACTGTTATTAAGCTATTATGTTCACATATTGTATTTGTCAAACGGGCACTGTTCGTTTCCCTTTCATACAACTATAATGCTGAGGCATAGCTCACGAACAATGTTTCACATAAACCACACTGACCCCTACAGGTCACTCTCAAAATCTCACGTTAACCTTGCATTTGGATTAAAGGGTATTTTTACCATACAATCAGCATTTCTGACCCCTACTGGTCAACAGCAAAGCTGTCTTCACATGTCATATACAATTTACCAGCCAATATAAATTACACATAAGATTGTTTTAAACATACCCATAAGCCATACATTAAACTCCAGCATGGGCTCAACTTCAGCTTTAATTCACAATAATTTACATTTCACATCAAGACCAACAGTAGTTCTATCAACACTGCCACCTACAGGTCTGTCAAGTACACTTACAATTTTCATGGGGTTTTACAAACACCTAAACACTGACCCCTATAGGTCACGAGAAGCCAACATCCTGCCACAATGTTCAGTGGCCAAACAAAATCCCCTTGCACTAAGCATAGATAGAGCCTCTCAAGCCACTTGGCAACTAACGAGTTAATCACACAGTAACTCGTGTAGGTGTGATTTATAGGCCCCCAGGACAAATTGAAGAGTTAGATAATCTATGAGTTGAGGAAATAGCTAAAATGACAATGAAGGGGGAAGTTATCATCATGGGTGACTTTAATCTTCCTGATGTAAATTGGAAAACAAAATTAGCTACTTGTGCCAGGAGCACACATATTCGAAACTCCCTACTGGGATTGTCTCTAAAACAAGTTGTTGAGAAGCCAACTCGTAAAGAGGCCATACTAGATTTAGTGTTAACAAATGGAGATTTGGTATCAGATATTACTGTAGGTGAAAGTTTAGTATCCAGTGATCATCAGTCAGTGTCGTTTAATATAAGAACAGTGACTGAGTCACACCACACAAAAACAAAAGTTTTAGACTTTAAAAAAACAGACTTTTCTAAAATTAGAATATGGGTAGAGGAGTCATTATCAGATTGGAGCAATTTAAATGGAGTCCAAGAGAAATGGGAATATTTAAAAGTTGCACCATTGAAGGCAACAGAAAATTGCATTAGGCTTGTCAGTAAAAGCAAAAAAATCAAGAAACCACTGTGGTACTCCACAGATGTGGCCAAAATAGTCAAAAACAAAAAGTTAGCATTTAGGAATTATAAAAAAAACCAGAGTGAGGAAGACAAAATGATCTATAAGATTAGGCAGAAAGAGGCTAAGCAAGTTATAAGAGCTTCCAAATCACACACAGAAGAGAAAATAGCACAGTCAGTAAAAAAGAGGGATAACATTTTTTTTAGATACATACATGAGAAAAGAAAAGTAAAACAAGGATTAGTTAGATTAAAAACAAAAGAAGGAAGGTATGTAGAAGAGGTTAAAGGTCTAGCTGACTGCCTCAATTAGTATTTTTGTTCTGTATTTACAGATGAAAATGAAGGAAAGGGACCTCAGTTAAGAAAAAGGATAAATGAGTCATTTATTACACATGAGTTTACAGAGGAAGAGGTTCTATTTCAACTGTCAAAAGTAAAGACAAATAAATCAATGGGACCTGATGGAATACACCCAAAGCTATTAAAAGAGCTTAGTGGTGTACTAGCAAAACCATTAACAGATTTATTTAACCAATCATTGTTAACAGGAGTAGTCCCAGAAGATTGGAAGTTAGCGAATGTTGTGCCCATTTACAAGAAAGGTAATAGGGAGGAGTCAGGCAACTATAGGCCAGTAAGCCTTACTTCAGTAGTGGGGGAAGTGATGGAAACCATGTTAAAGGATAGGATTGCTGAACATCTAAAAACACATGGATTTCAAGATCATAGACAACATGGGTTTACTTCAGGAAGATCATGTCAAACTAATCTTATTGATTTTTTTGATTGGGTAACTAAAATAATAGATCACGGTGGTGCAGTAGACATTGCTTACCTAGATTTCAGTAAGGCCTTTGACACTGTTGCACATAGAAGGCTTATCAATAAACTGCAATCTTTAAGTTTGGATTCCAATATTGTTGAATGGGTAAGGCAGTGGCTGAGTGACAGGCAACAGAGGGTTGTAGTTAATGGAATATATTCGAAGCTTGGACTTGTCACCAGTGGGGTACCTCAGGGATCTGTACTTGGACCCATTCTCTTTAATATTTTTATTAGTGATATTGCAGAAGGTCTTGATGGTAAGGTATGTCTTTTTGCTGATGATACTAAGATATGTAACAGGGTTGATGTTCCAGGAGGGATAAGCCAAATGGCAAATGATTTAGGTAAACTAGAAAAATGGTCAGAATTGTGGCAAATGGGAAGGCAGAGCCTGGAGTTGTGGGAGGGGTTGCAACCGGCCTATATAATCCCCCTACTTACCTCCATACCTTGCTGACAGTGCTTGGTTACTTCCAGTTCCGGTCCAGACGGCGGGAATCAACGATCAAACTCCAGCTCAGCCAGGTCATTTCAGCCTCCACGTCAGCAGGATCTCCAACCATTGACAGGCACGGCAGTAGCATGTAGCCATCGTTCACGGCGGGCTCGCTGGCTGCCCATGGCACCACAACTTACAGAGCGCCGGGTCGCACTTTCGGGTTCAAGATACCGGCAATCGTGAGTATGGGCATACAAATGCCCAAACACACGAACAATATGCAATACATTTCAGCACATCTGGGCGAACAGTAATAACGCACGAATCACATAACAGCCGAATGACGCGGGAAATGGGAGCACATACGGATAATTCTTAATCCACGAACGCCTTATATTGGTACTAACCACACGGATCTAACGTCAAACTCACGAACACAGCATTTAAACACACGAATTGCAATATGTTTTACAACGCTCATGAAAAAAAAAATGTGATACTGCAACCTACAGGCGCATTTAACATATCACACTCTATGTATGGAACTGTTCATATCAAGAATGGTAATTTTCTGTGAACATGTATTAGGGGAATAACATAATACGTATATAGATCGGGTAACTTTGTCACTGATACATATTAAAGGTTACAACACGGGTTATAAAATACTTCAAGGGATATCCACAATATAGATATTTCTTTTAAGCATATCGGTTAAGAGATTTTACAAATACAGAGTAAATAAATTAAGGTAATAAGGCGGGCATATACATTTATAATAGTCTGATTACAACCATAGGTAACTAAATAGATATAAATCACGCATAGTCTCGGTGGAAGCGGCAATTAAGGGGGAAAGGGAAGGGTATCATGGTATCAATATACGGCATATGGATAAAAGTAGGTATACAGGTGGATGAGGTAAGTTAAAAAATTGTATTGTCGTGTCCTTGTAGGTGGGTTTGTTCTCAATTTTCAACACACGAACATCCCAGCACAAGGAAGTGCTGGTAATATACGGTACGTTCATTATGGATAATTAGGTGGCACTAATACGCGAATCCGCTCGGAGCTAGAAACATAATATTAACATCGTACATAGTTCAAACTGGTAAAGGGCATCTTGTTACGTCTTACCCTCGTAGGTCACAGATTCATCAAGACCAACGCTGGTCATAACAATTCGTCAGAGACATAGACCGCACCTTACCTCTTGGGAATTTAAATAGAATCAAACGCTTAGTTGTGGTACAGGTAATAAAAAAAAAAAAAAAAAAACTTTTGTCTTTTTGGTTAGGGGAGGGGTACGCCTATTCGGGTGTTTTACTTTGATTATTTTTATCTTAGGCCAAGCAAACTAAGCATATACAACTACAGCCGTAACCTAAAGACCCACTCGTCAGGTACGTATTAGTCAAGGAATCATACTTACAACACGATATAGGCACTGGCACAATAGTTGTACATAAAAAAAAAAAAATTAATTTACGACAATAATACTTCCCTAATTTTCCTCATCACAGAGGTATTCACCTTCGGTCCAACTCATAGGTAGATTTCACAGTACTCAACCAAAATACAGAGAGGGCCTCACCAAGCATGCCTAGATTACTGTTATGTGTTAATTGAGGCAACCTTTCCAACACAACGCTTTGGAAGCACAATCATACGTCCAACGCATAGTTAGAGCCCCCAAACGGTCCAACAGCTAGTAGCAGGACCTCGCCCACCTCGTTATCTACTACAACTTATTAATAAGTAACATCAAACCCTTTGTCATTCATGTAGGATGTCTCACGCCTCCGACATAGGAGAAGACGTCTCCCCTCCCAGCACGCCAGCTAGACCCCTTCGACGGCCCCAACAACAGCCGAAAACATAGATAGCCCTTGTTCATTGAGGTCATGGACAATTCCTAAAATTGCTGCGGAACTCAGACCCATATCCGGCCAAGGCTAGGAAAGCTGAGCTGTATAGGATTATGATGACAACCACCGAGACCCCTCAACCAGGAACCAGCTCACAAGAAAATATGAACGAAACCATAGCAGGCCTGCAAGCCACCATGACATCTATCCTGGCGTCCATAAGTAATATCAGCCAGAGAATGGACAGACTGGAAGCTGCTGAGCCAATTATCGTGGCACCCGACATCAGTCTCACACCTGATATTGAACACATAGCGGCACAGGGTAATGTGGCAGGGGCACAAATCGCACAAAATCCTACCACTCACATTGTCACACCAGCACACTTGGTACCTCCTAACATTAGGAAACATATTTTAGAGGGAAAAGACGTCAACCTTATTTCCCTTTTGATAGCGTCGCAAGACGTAGTAGAAAATAAGATTTATAATTACAGGGATTTGTCAGTGGTGATGAAAGCTAGAGACCCCAGACTAAGTAAAAAATTAACCATTCCAGAGTTCGTCCTAGCTTTTGGCATATATAGAGACGTAGTATGCACCACTTTTCCCCATCGTAGAGAAGAACTGTATTTGTATTTGTACAAATTGGTGGATCTGGGACACAAGTACGATGGCCATATGTTTTTTGATTATCACAAGTCATTTTCGGCAAAAGCAGCGGCAGCTTTTTTACAATTCAATATAAGAACCGATTGGAGGCACTTAGATACTGAACTTTTCTGCCTGGTCAGGATACTCACATGGTTGGTAGCCACACAAAAAAATTTCCTGACTTGCATACACGTGCCAGGTCACCACAATTCAGCAGCTGACGCACCATCCCGTTAAAAATTACAGGTTTTCAGACAGCTACACCCAACAGCAGAGGAACAGCCATACAAGGCGCCGCAGTTCAAAGACTTCATCCTGGAATAGAATTACTCATGGAACATGGGAGAGCACTAGCACAGGCCTCACTTTCACTAAACACTAGACGCACGTACAACCGAGCCTTAATATTATTCAATAAATTTGTTTCAGAATACCTCATCACGAATCCTTATAGGTTAGATACCATGGTGGCATTCACCTCTTTTTGCCATCTCAACTTGAAACTGGCACACAACACCATAAAACTCTATCCCAGTATAAAAAACTTCCTGTCAGCACACCCCATTAAAAACATGCTAAAATGCATCCAACGCCTAGAAAACCCAAAACCTACTACACGGCTACCAATTGACGCTGAGAAATTCAGGGCATTGTCTGACATGTTAGATACCAAACCCTTTTATAATCACACCAATAACACACTCAAAACAGCCATATACCTGGCATTTTATGGGTTTATGCGTCCCAACGAACTCACCTTAAGTAACATCAACAATAAGGGAAATATGCTGTGTGTGTCAAACTTAAACAAAATAGGTGATCACTACACATTGTCAGTAAGACATTCAAAAACTAATCAAATGGGTCCGCCCCTCGACATTCAGTTTTACCCAACTGGCAATCATTGGTGCCCCGTACAACTATTCAACAAATACATGGCCGGTATGGCTGATCAACCCAAACAAGCTCCTCTTCTCACAATACACAGTCAACCCCTGACTACATAAAAATTCATCAAATACGTAAGATTACTATTCACAAGAATCGGGTACGATCCCGCGGCATATACAGGCCACTCCTTTCGTATCATAGCCGCAACATCAGCCTCCAGCCAAAACGTACCAGTTCATATTATTAAAAAGCTAGGCCGTTGGAAGTCTTCGGCATACCATCGTTACATACCTCAACCTGAGAAAGAGTTGAGACAAGCTTTTAAACAATTGGCAAAATAAGAAGCTCGGGTAATAATGTATGATTATACGTATTAAAGTGTGGAACTGATACTTCTCTTTTGCCCTCTTTATTTACAGGCCAACCCGTACATCGGTTTTGACACACTACAACCCACTTAGTATATTATACTGTTGATTAGAAGTATAGATCCACATAAATACGGCCTTCTTCCCTGACCACAAATGGGAAGGCGGAGCCTGGAGTTGTGGGAGGGGTTGCAACCGGCCTATATAAACCCACTACTTACCTCCATACCTTGCTGACAGCGCTTGGTTACTTCCGGTTGCCCCACCCACCACTCCACAAAAGGAAATCAATTAATTGGTTGGCCCTCTTTATTTACAGGCCAACCCGTACACCGGTTTCGGCACACTACAACCGACTTAGTATATTATACTGTTGATTAGAGGTATAGGTCCACATAAATACGGCCTTCTTCCCTGACCACAACTGACATTTAATGTGGATAAGTGCAAGATAATGCATCTTGGACGTAAAAACCCAAGGGCAGAGTACAGAATATTTGATAGAGTCCTAACCTCAACATATGAGGAAAGGGATTTAGGGGTGATTATTTCTGATGACTTAAAGGTAGGCAGACAATGTAATAGAGCAGCAGGAAATGCTAGCAGAATGCTTTGTTGTATAGGGAGAGGTATTAGGAGTAGAAAGAGGGAAGTGCTCATGCCATTGTACAGAACACTGGTGAGATCTCACTTGTACACAGTACTGGAGACCGTATCTTCAGAAGGATATTGATACCTTAGAGAGAGTTCAGAGAAGGGCTACAAAACTGGTTCATAGATTGCGGGATAAAACTTACCAGGAAAGGCTAAAGGATCTTAACATGTATAGTTTGGAGGAAAGACGAGACACGGGGGATATGATAGAAACATTTAAATATATAAAGGGAATCAACACAGTAAAGGAGGAGACTATATTGAAAAGAAGAAAAACTACCACAACAAGAGGACATAGTCTTATATTAGAGGGACAAAGGTTTAAAAATAATATCAGGAAGTATAACTTTACTGAGAGGGTAGTGGATGCATGGAATAGCCTTCCAGCTGAAGTGGTAGAGGTTAACACAGTAAAGGAGTTTAAGAATGCGTGGGATAGGCATAAGGCTATTCTAACTATAAGATAAGGCTAGGGACTAATGAAAGTATTTAGAAAATTGGGCAGACTAGATGGGCCGAATGGTTCTTATCTGCCATCACATTCTATGTTTCTATGTTTCTATGTTTCTAGCAGGGCCTCACCAGTCACCAAAAAACACCAAGCCTAATCGTTTTGCCTTACGGCTTAGCTAGCAAGCCAGTACAAGACCCCTGCGTACAAATAATAATTGCAATCTGTGACAGACTCATCTGTATGGACTAAAAGCACTGTGTTCGTCTGTTTTGCCGTTTGCATGAATTTCCCCATCCGTATGCTTTGTTTAAGAGAATGTCTTTTTTTATTCGAACAGAACTACCGAACGGACGGCCACCGAGAAGAGAAGTGTGCTGCTGTTTAACCTATTGATCCCAATTAGAACGTTGCGGTTAAACACAGACACTTCTCAATTAAAACCGAATACCGGGTGGTCGTCGTTCATATGTCGACCACGAGGTGGCGGCCATTTTAACCATGAGAAAGACCAGCGGTGTTCGACGGTTATTTCATGGAACTGAAAACGGACACTTTTTCAACCGAACACCGCTGAAGCCGTCGACCTCCCCTTCTCAATCGACAAAAGCATACGAATGCCGGCCGTTCGGGAGATTCAACAACACGAATGGACTTAACCCAGATAGCCTTCCCATGGAGTCAATCGCATACCGAAGAACTGTAATAGACTTTGACTCCATTGCGATTGAACTATGCGAATGGGATCTGAGCGCTATTCGCCAATAATATGCACTCAGATCCAGGCTATCTTGGGATGTGTTACACGAATACAATATGTTCGGCAATTAGAAAGTTATGTATTTTAATGTGTTTTATAACTTTGAGTTAAAATGGCGATTTGCCTCTGCTCGTGGAGATAATTGAATTACTTCCCAATTATCTCCCGAGCAGAGGGGAGGGAACTGTGATGCATGCTGGGAATATTGTGGGGATGTATGTCTGAAATGTCCCCATGTCCTTCTGTTATTCCAGTCTCCCATTTGGTCCCCTAGGGGAGTGTCTACCAAGTGGGAGACCTGCATAAATACCGGGCAGGTAGCCCACAGTAAATCAGTTCGTGTTTTACCCTCAAAGCGGAGCTTGGTCTCGTTATTGGGGGGATTTTATTACCGGTGCCTAGAGACTGCTTATTGGAATTATTTGCCGCTTGGAAGATATTGGCGTTCGGCTAATATTGGCAGTTCGTGTATTTGGAGATCGTGAAGGGAAAGAGCTGTACAGGTACCGTTCGGGAGTTTGGAGTGTTCCCTAGCTGGCGGTTCGCATGGTTATACTGTA